AGGCCTGACACACTTACCTGAGTTAGCTCCTGCATGGCCTAGGCATCCCTATTGTACCATACAAATGCATCATGGCCGACACTCACTTGTTTCAACACCGCCTCAGATTCTGAGAACCGCCATCTGGCATGACTTTTTCTTTTATGTTTGACTTTATTTTAGCATTAGCACAAGGCAGGATTTTTATTAAGTTGCAATTTTGTTGGTGCATGGCGGGCCTTCATGGTTTTCCACTCGTGAGCACAACCATTGCCTATTTATGATATTCTTATTTTATTGTTTAATACCAAAGTTAAATCCTCTTCTAACTGGACATGTTAGCCTACTATGTCACTGGACTGTTTTGTAACTTGTTTATTACTATAATATCTTTTATTGTCTTACTGATGTTTCTACTTCAACAAAAAAAGTGCAGCATTTCTTGGCTTCTTACCTATATTTGAATATTATGATTTACTGTGTTGTACAAGTAATTGCTTAAACCTGTATATTACTCTGCACTCCAAAAATAAAGAATTAAAAAAAATGTATAAATGTTGTTTACAACTTATTTTTAAAATTTACAACTCTATGTGAATTTAAAGTGAATTTTTCAAATTTAAAGAAATACTATAGTATTAAAAATACAAACATGTATTTTTAACACAATAGTATTGGACTACCTACTGGGGTCACTCTTCAGAATGGAGAAATAAGGTAGTTACCTTAACTTTAGTCAATTTTTTCGCTTGTCTCTTGCTCCACCTCCATGGCTGAGATCAATCTTGATAGTCTCAGCCAATTGAATGCTTTCCTACAGGAAAGCATTGGGAGGCTTTTGCGTACGCATAGCAAAAGGACATGCTGCGACAATCAGCAAATCCAAATAGAGGGGCATTGATTTAATCCATCGCTACGGGGAGCTTTCAGCATCTCCAATCAGAGCGTGGAGATGCTGAACATAGGTGCTGCAGACAATGCCGCACTGAACTAAGACGCACCCCTTGTGGCCGTCTGACTGACAGTCCCAGGAGGTGTTACTAGGCAGCAATATAAACACTGCCTTTTATCTAAAAAAGCAGCGTTTACAGTCCTGTGCCTGCACAAACATGCTATAGTCACCATAGCCACTGTCTTAAGCTGTAATGGCTCTGGTGACTATAGTGTCACTTTAAGGCCAGAGTAACTGATCTGAAAGCACAGCTGAGTAGTTGAATTTATCCAGTTCAGCTATTTTTTACCTTAAATTTTAAATTCACTTTAAATTCTCACTTTTGTGACTAACCCTGTAAATGTATCTTCTACTGTATCTTTTACTTATTCAGTGTTATTCACTATACAAGAAATTGTTGGTAGTTAACAACGGAAATTGATATTTTAGGGCAAACAGACATGCTAGAAAAATAACTGTATTTAACCCCTTAACGACGATTGACGGGCGAGGTCGGTCACTCAGGGGATTGCCATAACGACGAGTGACGGACCTTGTCCGTCACCCGTTAAAATTAACCCTGGATCGCCGCTATTGCGGCGATCGTGGGGTTAATGGTGCTCTGGTCTGCCTCTGTATTAGAGGCAGACCGGGAGCACCCGATAGTGCTGCCCAGCACATGTGCTGTCAGAGCGAGCACATGTGCTTAGTATACTTACCTTCCGCCTCCCTGCACTTCCTGGTTCTGTGTGAAGTGCAGGGAGACAGATCAGTGATGATCCTGCCCCCTGTTAAAAAATAAAGTTTATTTAAAATCCCACGCCCCATTTACTCATTTTAATTAAAAATTAACCTCTTCCCTGCCAATTGATCACTGACTACAGTGATCAATTGGCAGGGATTACATTTTACTGTCATCTGATTTTTTTTTAACCCCTGAGGGTTAATTCTTTTTTTTTTTTAACCCTCAGGGGTTAAATTTATTTAATTCATTAATTTAAATATTTTAAAATGATATATTTAGCTAGCTGGGGTGGGTGGAAGTTAGTGGGGAATTGGGGGATTTGGTGTTAGGCTAACTAGGGGTTAACGTTAAAAAAAGTTTTAAAATAAACTTTAAAAAGTTAAAAATTAAGCTAAAAACGTAATAACGTTTAAGTAAAAAATAAAAAAACACCCCCCTTTACCCAGTCCAAATAAAAATTAACCCCTTCCCTGTCAGTCGATCACGGCCTACAGTGAATAAAATACAGATCACAGTATTATACTGTGATCTAATTTTTTTTAACCCCTGAGGATTAACTTTTATTTATTTTTTAACCCTCAGGGGTTCAATTTATTTAATTAATTAATTTAAATATTTATAATTATATATTTTGCTAGCTGGGGTGGGTGGGAGTTATGGGAAAATGGGGAATTTACTGTTAGTGCTGCTTACTGCTAGTTAGGGGTTAACGGTAAAAAAAAAAGCTTAGAAAAATGTTAAATCTGTAAAAAAAAAGTTTTAAGAAAGTTTAGGAAAGTTGAAAAAAAATTAATAAGCAAAACAAAAGTTTAAAAAATAGTTTTTAAAAGTAACAAAAAAGTTTCAAAATGTAAAAAAATACATTTAAAAACACTCATTACCACTACACCTGGAACAAACTAGAGGAAAAATGATCCCACGCTAAGGTTCAAAATATGCCTTTTGAATTACCTCAGGTTGTATTCTTTAATAAATAGTATGTGTTTGTGGGGAAGTTTCAATAACCAACCGTCTAAACTACTCCAAATTGGAACATGGACACAGCGTAAAACTTCAAAGTTAGAAAAAAACTGAATGGCTGCGTCTCAAATGCGCCCCTTCAATGTCCACATATACCTGGCAAAGGTACATACAGGGGTATTGTTGTACTCAGGTGACATAGCTGAGCAACATATGATGTATTATACAGTTGTAGCACACATAAGGTTTGCAAAATATACTGTGCAAACTCACTTTGTGTGTCAAAAGGCAGAAAAAATGCTTATTACCACTACACTTGGTACAAGCTAGTGGAAAAATAATCCCACGCTAAGGTTTAAAATAGGCCTTTTGAAATACCCTGGGATGTCTTCTTTAAGTATTGTATGGCTTTATGGGGTATTTAGATTATATAGCCTGGTAAAATACTCTATAATGGGACACGGGCACAGCATAAAAATGTAAAGTTTGAAAAAAACTGGAATGGCTGTGTCCCAAATGTGCCCCTCCAATGTCCACATATACCTGACAAAGGTACATACGGGGGTATTGCTGTACTCAGCCGACATAGCTGAGCAACATATGAAGTATTATACACTGGTAGCACCCATAAGGTTTGCAAAATATACTGTGCAAACTCACTTTGTGTGACCAAAAAGGCAGAAAAAACACTTATTACCACTACACTTGGTACAAGCTAGCGGAAAAATGATCCCACGCTAAGGTTCAAAATATACCTTTTGAAATACCCTGGGGTGTCTACTTTAAGAAATGGTAGGCCTTTGTGGGGTAGTTTGAATTTATACCCTGCTAAGATGCTTGGAAATTGCACATAGGCCCAGCATCAAAATTCAAAGTTCGGTAAAAACTGATATGGCTTGGTCTCCTATATGGCACTGTAGCTTCACGAAATAGTGCCAAAGACATTCATTGGGGATGTCATTTTACTCAGAAGACTTAGCTGAGCATAATTTGGGGGGTTTGAACTTAGTGGCACATGTGAAATATACAAAATGCCCAGCAAAAATGCAATTCATGTGTAAAAAACGCACAAAATTATTTTTTACCACATACTTTGGCATTTATTAGTAAAAAGATGGGGGCATGTTAAGGCACAATATGCACTTTATGAGATACCCTGGAGTGTCTACTTTTACAAATGGTAGGCCTTTGTGGGGTTTTTTTGAACAGTCAAACTGTTATAATACCCCAAATTGAAGCATAGGCTCATTAAATCCGTCTCTCAAAATTCTATTGTGAATACTGAAAAGAACAGGTCTCCTATATGGCACTGTAACTTCACAAAATAGTGCCAAAGACATACAATGGGGGTGTAATTTTACTCAGCAGATGTAACTGAACACAAAATAAAACTTTGTACAGGAATAGCACACACCAACTTTACAAAATACACATGAGAATTTCTTTGTTATAAGTTTGTGTGCCAAAAAACAAAAAAACCCCACAATTTTACTCCAATATTTAGCAGAGGTTGGCGGTGAAATGGCTATGTAGAAAGTGTCAAAACAACCCTAGGTAAACCCTAGGTAAATAGCCTGTGATGTCTAATTTATATAAATATATACTTTTGTGTGGCAATTTTGCTCCACATTAAAAGTTTGTTTTACTACTTGTGCTTTGTGAAAAAAATCCCAGACACATTATTTATTCTGTAAATCAGAACAACTAAATTAATTTATTTTTAATTATTATTGCAAAAACTGTAAAACAAAACACAAAAGTTTTCATTTTTTTGCATTTTTCTGTATTTTTTATAATAAATAAGCATTTATATATATATATATATATATATATGTATATATATATATATGTGTGTGTGTCTTACATCAAATTAATACCTTTCTTACATCAAATTAATACCTTTCTGTCCTTTAAAAAATGATATATAATATGTGTCGGTGCAATAAATTAGTAAAATGCAAATTGCAGTTGAACGCAAACAGCAAAAAATTAAAAAAATGCTGTTGTCATTAGGTAAAAGACAAGCTTCTGAAGCTCTGTCCTTAAGGGGTTAATATTTTTTTCCACTTTAGGTATTTTAACTTGACATTTGAAAGTCCCTTGTCAAAACAATTCATAGTTTAGTGAATTATTGCATTTGTTTTGTAAGGAGTGAATATCTATTTTTTTAAATATGATTCCCATTTATAAATATTAAGTGTGTTTATTGATAACTTGAATCACATTTACTATTCACCACTTATATCTATTGCAAAGGACACTGTAGTACTGAGGTGCTGGTAAGAATGTTCTATTTGTGACATCACAAGGCAAGAATGTTCAGGCAGTAGATGTTACCAAGAGCATGTCAGAAATCATTGTCTCCAGATCGTAATACAATGCACAATGTTTGATGCCAAAGTTTTAGACTTGCCGGCAGTAATTTTTGATAATGGCTCAGGATTATGTAAAGCTGGATTTTCTGGTGACAGCTTTCCAAGATCAGTGATCTCATCAGTGGTTGGCCGTCCAAGAGAGTTCTTCACAACGCATGGAGCTGGCCGAAAGAATTACTACGTCGGAAAGGAAGCACAAAGCATGAGAGGTGTCTTGACACTGAAGTATCCTATTGAACATGGTGTAATAAGCAACTGGGAAGACATGGAAAAAATATGGAAGCACATGTACAACTGCGAACTCAAGATCAATCCAAGTGATCGACCTGTGCTACTAACAGAGGCTCCTTTCAACCCATTAAAAAACCGTGAGACAATGGCAGAAATGATGTTTGAAGGTTTTAACGTACCTGCTCTATATATTGCGTTGCAAGCATCACTATCACTCTATGCATCTGGTTGTATAACAGGCCTTGTTATTGACTGTGGTGATGGAGTCACTCACACCTCTCCTATATATCAAGGCTACCATCTAGTACATTCTGGGTCCAGACTAGACATTGCTGGAATGGACATCACCAAACATCTGATGACACTTCTTACAGAGAGTGGAATTTCCTTTATAAGTACCTCTGAGCGAGAAATTGTGCGAGATATAAAGGAGCAACATTGCTATGTAGCCACTGATTTTAACAAAGAAATGAAGAAAACCACCAATGAAATCGTGACAGATTATGAACTTCCAGATGGGAAACTTATTAAGCTTGGTAACCAACGTTTCCGAGCCCCAGAGATACTATTTACACCAAGTCGTGTTGGCATGGATACGCCAGGAATTCATGAAATGGTTATCAACAGTGTATTACAAAGTGATATAGATGTACGTAGGGATTTGCTGAACAACATCATTTTGTCTGGTGGATCAACTCTGTTTCCTGGAATTGACAAGAGGCTTCAAAAGGAGCTGCAAGAAGCATTTGGTGTCCCTGTGAATGTTATTGCAAATCCCCAAAGGAAGTACCATGTGTGGATTGGAGCATCAGTGATCACATCGTTGGCATCTTTCAAGGAAAAGTGGGTTACTGTCGCTGATTATAACGAACATGGCCCATCTGTTGTGCACAGTAAATGCATTAAATAAAAAACAAATAACACATTTACAGTTTGATGTTATGCTATTTAATTTGAACAAGGGGTGTGCTTTGTACAGGGAAAAGACAAACAATATAAATGGTTTATTCAAAGCTTTGCTACAATTGATTACTTGATGCATAAGGTACAATTTAAGCATTTTGCATTTTGTGTTGCAGTATATCTCTGCTTATCAGTTTATATTCGCAGGCATTTACAAAAATGTGTGAATTGTCATGAATTTATAAAAATGTGAAAAAAAATTCATTTTTATCTCAAAATAGCTGAATAATAATAACAGAAAACACAGATGACTTTTTTGACTTTTTTTTCCTTATAAAAAAAGAGTTTCACTATGCATTCCTGTAGAATGTAGAAATCTAGATATTTCACGACAGCCCAGTTAAAAACGTTAAAGCAAAGATTCTTTGTAATGGGTTTATATATATAGTGTAATTCAAGCATTTGTAATTATTCAAAGATAAAGCATTTTAGACTGTTTCTGTTTAGCCCTCCTTGGTGGGGCATTTTTACTGTTTGTGTTATTAGTTCACCTGCAATATTATGCCATAGTGCTGTATAATGGAAGAAAGTGCAAGTAATTAGTAACACCACAAGTTTTATATACACAGGGTTATTCAGTAGAGTGGCATGAATTCCAAATTCATTCAAAGTGAATTTCAAATTTCAGACCAGCTGGATTGGAAGCATGGATGGCTTTTCCAATTCAATTATCTTTTTAAAAGTTGAATTCACTTTGAATTCCCCCAAATTCTTAGTTTTTAGTGAATAACTCTGTATATAACCCAATTTAGCACATAACCCTGTATAAAACTCATTTTAGTCAATCACCATGTATATATCAAACTTGTGCTGTTGCTTCTTACTTGCATGTTCTTCCATTATACAGCACAATGGCATATGTTGGTGCTTTAAAAATAATAATAATTATAGCATTGCAGATACACTAACAAGACAAACAGAGATAAATAATTGTTTTTGTTTATCTATTTCACTTTGGTTTTATTTATTTTTTTAATTTGCTTTTTTTAGTTATACATATGATGACATTAAATTTTTTGCAACTTAAGCAAAGTTCCATTTTAGTTGCTCGGCTGAATTATCCACAACCCATCAGTCTTAAATATCCCACAGAGAGGCAAACTCCAGACATCATGGACAAAGGAAAATAAAATGGAGGCGCTCTGGTATTGAGATCCGGCACATGGAATAAAAGATGATTACTATAAATAATGGCAAGTAGCAATGGTAGAAGTTTAGCAAACAGGAAAATAGGGACAGGATTCCCAAAATGTCTGTAATATGTACTCTTCATTAAGGGTATTTTTCAGACTGGGCCAAATATTCAAAGCTGTGCACTGTGTATTTATACTTTTTCTGATCTAAACTTTGATGGACTAGACACTAAATGTGATAGGGTTATTCAGTAAAGTGAAAGTTGTCAGGAATTTAAAGTGAATTTCAAACTGAAGGCCAAAATTGCATAACCGGAAGCGTAGCTTCACAAACTACCACGTGGCAAAACCGAGGCAAAAATAGTGGTTTGTGACTATGATTTAGTTAGAGAATTTTTCCCACCTAACTATTTTTGCCTCAGTTTTTCTACTCAGATTTATTTCATGAAAATTTTGGAGTTTAGTTTATAACACTGCAACTCTTCAGATGAGACAGAGACCAGCTTGCTGATTCCACTACTAGGAATGGGTGCAATTCCCACTTACAGGTTAAAATACATAAAAAATGCAGAGGAAAAATAAGGCAGGTAAACTGTATAGAAATAAATCCTTGATCTTTTAAGTAGAAATTACCTCCTACACAGCACACAGCCATATAACATACTACTTGAATAATGAAAAAAGTCAATATTCAGAGAAGCTAAATAAACAAATAACACTATGTTGGCTATTGGCTAATACTCGAAAGAAAAAACAATTATAAATAGGATGGCGCAAATGGGAGAAGGATCTTAGCACATGCAGCAACCAACAAAAACAAATCCTGGTAAAACGATTTGAACATAAAATAACTTACAGTAATGATGGTGCGCAAGAACAAAAATCGTATTCACTATGGACCCTTTTATAGAGAGTGAAAGTAACCCTGTGTACATGAAATGAGGTGTATACAGAGTGGAAATATTATAAGTAGTGATGTCCCGAACGGTTCGCTGAACAGTTCGCCGAACGGTTCTCCGCGGACGGCGAACATATGACCCTGTACCTCACAGTCAGCAGACACATTCCAGCCAATCAGCAGCAGACCCTCCCTCCCAGACCTTCCCACCTCCTGGACAGCATCCATTTTGAAGCTGCATTCTTAGTGAGCTGTCCAGGAGGTGGGAAGGTCTGGGAGGGAGGGTCTGCTGCTGATTGGCTGGAATGTGTCTGCTGACTGTGAGGTACAGGGTCATATGTTCGCCGTCCGTGGCGAACCGTTCGGCGAACCGTTCGGCGAACCGTTCGGCGAACCGTTCGGGACATCACTAATTATAAGTAATTGAAACACAAACAGTGATTGTGGTAAAACAAAACACAATCTGTAGGTATACTTGCAAACATGGAAATCACAATGCCCTGTGCGTGGGGCGAAATGCATTACGCACCCGGAACCAGGAAGTGATTTGGAGACAGTGGCAACAGCAGCCAGGACAGCAGCCGGAAGATTTTTTACATTGCATGAGTATATGGAACTTTCTTTGCGGTTTCTTGAGGCAGGTGAGCGGACTAACTACCTCCACAAGAAGTTTTGCTGTTTTTAAATTGCTATTTATAAACTATACTTACCTGAGATCCGGATTGCAAGCTTCCTTTCCACGGATCCCATGCACTCTAGGGGCTGATCCTCCCTGAGTGCTATAGCAACGAGTGGTGCTTTTACCACTCCAATCTTGTGAGTGTAATACCTTAAGGGCACCTCTCTTTGATTTATTTTATATATCTATAAGTGAGTTACTACGCTGCACTAGGAGCTCTCTTTCTGTTTTTGTCTCCTTAATAGGTGTCAGAGTGATTTCCACGTTTGCAAGTATACCCGGGGACGTATTAGCCGCGAGGCAAACAAGGCATTTGTCTTGGGCGGCATCTTTCAGGGGGCGGCAAAAAACGCCGCCCCCCCAAATGCCCAGGGCAAATGCCTAGTTAGCCTCGCGGCTAACTAACATGCCGAGCGGGCGGGCGGCGCTGGCTGCTGTGCGGGCGGCTGGCGAGGGAGCACTTCTTCTGAGCTGTCTGCTCAGCTCCCTCGTGCGCCACAGAGTGAGACTGGGAGCCGGAATATGACGTCATCTTCCGGCTCCCAGCCTCACTCTGCGGCGCACAAGGGAGCTGAGCAGACTGCTCAGAGGAAGTGCTCCCTCACCAGCCGCCCGCACAGCAGCCAGCGCCGCCCAGCCCGACCGGCAGCCACTGGACCACCAGGGAGAGAGAGACCTCCCCCCCCCCCAGCACTCCCAAAGGTAAGGAGGTTGGGGGGGGTTAAATTAAAAAAAAAAGTTAATGTGAGTGATTGTGTGTGTGTCTGACTGTGTGTGTTTGTGTCTGACTGTGTGTGTGTGTGTTTGTTTGTGTCTGACTGTGTGTGTGTTTTTGTCTGACTGTGTATGTGTCTGACTGTGTGTGTGTGTGTGTGTGTGTGTGTGTGTGTTTGTGTCTGACTGTGTGTGTATTTGTGTCTGACTGTGTGTGTGTGTGTGTGTGTGTTTGTGTCTGACTGTGTGTGTGTGTTTGTGTCTGACTGTGTGTGTGTGTGTTTGTGTCTGACTGTGTGTGTGTGTATGTGTCTGACTGTGTTTGTGTGTGTGTATGTGTCTGACTGTGTTTGTGTCTGTGTATGTGTCTGACTGTGTATGTGTGTATGTGTCTGACTGTGTGTGTGTGTCTGACTGTGTGTGTTTGTGTCTGGCTGTGTCTGACTGTGTGTGTGTGTTTGTGTCTGACTGTGTGTGTGTGTGTCTGACTGTGTGTGTGTGTGTGTATTTAGAAGGTGGGGCAGGGGGGATTGGTTGGGTGGGGGTGGCGCGGGGGGAGGGGGGCACCTGAGTTTTGTCCTGCCTAGGGCAGCACAAAACCAGGATACACCACTGAGTACACCTACAGATTGTGTTTTGTTTTACCACAACCACTGTTTGTGTTTCAATTACCCGTATATACTTGAGTATAAGCCGACCCGAATATAAGCCGAGGCCCCTAATTTTACCACAAAAAACTGGGAAAACTTATTGACTCGAGTATAAGCCTAGGGTGGGAAATGCAGCAGCTACTGGTAAATTTCTACATAAAATTAGATCCCAATCAAATTACATTAATTGAATATTTATTTACAGTGTGTGTATAGAATGAATGCAGAGTGTGTGTTTGTGTGTGTATATAATGAATGCAGTGTGTGGTTGTGTGTTGTGTGTGTATATAATGAATGCAGAGTGTGTGTGTTGTGTGTGTATATATAATGAATGGAGTGTGTGTGTTTGTGTGTTGTGTGTGTGTATATAATGAATGCAGTGTGTATATAATGCAGTGTGTGTGTTTGTGCAGTGTGTGTAAACTGGGTGAGGGGAGGGCATTTTAATTTTAATTTTTTTATTTTAATATTATATTATTTTATTATTATTTTATTATTATTTTAATATAATATTATTTTAATAATATTATTTTATTATTATATTATTATTATTTTAACATTTGCATTATTATTTTTGAAATGTTTTTTTTTGTCCCCCCACCCTGGCCAGGCAACAAGCAGGGAGGGGGGGACAAAAAAACATTTAAAAAAAATAATGCAAATATTAAAATAATAATAAAATAATATTAAAATAATAATACTGAATCCCTGGTGGTCCAGTGGCATTGGCTGTCCAGTGGGGGGGGCTGGCAGTGAGCTGTTACTTACCTTCCTGCAGCTCCTGTCAGCTCCCTTCTCCTCCGTGCAGCTCCTCTGTCAGCTCCGTTCTGCTTACAGTGTAAGTCTCGAGAGACCCTTCCTCATAGAGATGCA